TTTTTTTTTTTTTTTTTTACATACTTCCTCGTGCGCTTCGGACGAACTTGAGCTCAAGATGTGTGCGGACGCGCGATCGCTCCTTTCCTTCCTTCCTTTCTCTTAGAATCGCGCCGGCATAATTGACAAAACGATCGTAAACCAGTCAGCCAGCGGTGTCATCGTCGTAGCGAACGCGCGGCGTCAAGTTCATGTCTGACACACATTTGCCGATGACATTTTACAGTTATCTCCAGGTGACCGACCCACCTTGACGTGAAACCCTCCCTGCGGCGCCAGCCAGTTATCCGCCGCTGCTATCCGCTCACCATTTCCGGGGCCCACGACCAGCAGCGCTCCCGACAACCAAGGCGGCATCTTTCAGTCATCAAAATTACAAACGTAACCGATCTCCGGTGGTCGCAAAATCGGTCTTCGCACCGACAAAAGATGATAAAGAGACCGCTAAGCCTGTGGATAAATTCACGCAGCCCGGCTTATTGAAAAAAAGAACTTGCTCGCCGCGCGCGCCAGTGCCCTCTCGACGAAGATACGCGCGATATCTACAACCTAACTTAATCTGAGAAGTGACGTCACGGAAAGAGAGAGAGCGTGGACCAGTTCTAAAGGCCGAAGCACAGATTTTTGCATAATTCATAAGACATAAGAAAATCAACCAATCCAGCTTTTCGTTTTCATCCCTACTTCTTGTTCCAGAAAGCTTTGATTGGTTGATTTTCTTACTGTCTCATGCGTTATGCATTATGAAAAAGTCTGTGCTTCGGTCTTCATTCTTCTCTCTGTTTGAATCATGGTTCTAATTTGTGCTCTCTTTGACCGGCAAAGTATTGGGTTCGTTTCTCTTCTGCTTACTTCCATTTTGTAAAATCTCTCCGCCAGTTGGATCTCGCGCACGTGGCTACACCACGCAAGTTGGATGCGGGTTGGTGCGATTTAGTCGAGGTGTCTTAACCTTCGTATGCGGAAACGTATGAATTTTATTTTACAATCACTTCGAAGGCGATAGCGAAATTAAAAATGGAATATCAAATCGTTTACGTAAAGTCCGAACTTGCGTTTGGTAAGATCGATTTTTTGATGTTTTTGCGATTCGATTTTCAAAACGGTTCAAATATGGAACCCGATGAAACGGAACAAAGAATTTATTTTGTTTACACTTACGTGACTTTATGTGTGACGAATATATTTGTGTTTGTAAACATAAATTAAATGTATTTATATTTGTTATTTTAAACTGATATTTTTCGCTGTCTCAGCGTTTGTATTCTGTTTATTTGATTTTATTCGATAAATCTTGAGCGTTTGAAATGATTCCGTCACACACAGTAGATGTTGGAAACAAAATGAATTATTATAAAAACAATTGTAACATATTAAAGAATTTGTTGCACAATTGGTAATTAATGAATGTATCTGCTTGAATAAATTTAAAAAAAATACATTAAGTATGATATAATCTAGTATTTACTTAAATATTTTCTGACAGTAACTATATATATTTTTGTATGATGTAAGATATTGATATATTGTTGTATGATGTAAGATACCGATATATTTCTCAACGCATTCTTTTCCAACTGTTTTATATGACACAATATTTTAGTTAATTGATATCAATGATAGCGCAATTTGCATCACTGTTAAAAACATTAACATTCATGATTTTGAACATACTTTAATTAACATCAAAAACATTTAAATCATTGTTGTCTTACAGAGGCTCTAGCAGTTGCAAATTTAATTAACTCTGATGAGGGAAAAATAAAAATTAAATGTACTCAGCAAAATTTGAAAGGAGCAGACAATGTCATCTTGTATAAAGATTCAGAAGTAGTGGCGAAACGAGTTAGCGATATTACTCGATATTTTGCGAGAACAATGAAACAAAAGAACTTTTATGGCAAGTAGTAAATGTACTTTTTTTCTTTGAAATACACTTTTTAAGTTAAACTATTGTGTGGAACTTGCAATTTTCTTTTATATTGTTTATATATTATATTTTTATATTATTAGGCGATGCATCCTGTCCTCGAACGAAAACCGAGGTTGATCAGTGGTTGTCATTTGCCATAATGCTAGACAATTATTCATTTGCATCTGTAAACAAAGATACTTTGGCTTTCATGAACGATAAGATATTACGTACACAAACATATTTGGTCAACAAAAGTTTGACATTGGCTGACATTCATATGTTTGGTGCTTTGCTAAGAACAAGATACTTGAACGCTGAAGATCGGAAAACTTATGCTAATGTTACCAGATGGTACAAATACATGGAACATGTTTTCAACGATGTAATACAGATATGTAACGAAGATGCGAAAAAGAAATCTGTTCAAACTAAAGAAGATTCAGTGGAAAAACAAGCAAATTTGCGGTCGAAACAACAATCAAAATCTGAGAATTCTGATATTGATAAAAACTTGCGGAAACAGGAGGGTAAATTTATTGAATTACCTGAAGCAGAGATGGGCAAAGTAAAGTTATATTTGTATATATAAGTAAAACTGATTTGATCTATAACATAATTTACATTTATTTTCTAAAATTTGTGTTGTCACTACTTTGTAGGTGGTCGTGAGATTCCCACCGGAAGCAAGTGGCTATCTGCACATTGGTCATGCAAAAGCAGCTCTCTTGAATCAATATTACGCCGAGATCTATCAAGGACAGCTCATTATGAGATTTGATGACACCAATCCGGCGAAAGAGGACGCACATTTTGAAGACGCTATACTGGAAGATATAAAACTACTGGAAATTACACCCGATAAGTTTACATTTACCTCGAATTATTTCGACGTGTTAAAGGACTTTTGTACCACTTTACTAACAAAAGGATTGGCGTATGTTGATGACACTCCGGCAGATATAATGAAGGAACAGCGTGATCAAAAGTTAAAATCTAAAAACAGAGATAATTGTGAGCAATTTCTAAAAAATTACACATAGTTTCAGCATAACTTAACTTTTTTGTATTATCTTTTAAATGATATATAACTCAATACTATTGCAGCTGTTAAACAAAATCTTGCTTTGTGGGAAGAAATGCAACGTGGCACTGAGAAAGGTCAACAGTGTTGTGTCAGAGCGAAGATTGATTACGAATCAACCAATGGATGTATGCGCGATCCAACGATTTATCGTTGCAAGTCCGAGCCCCATCCGCGAACTGGAAGCAAATTCAAGTATTTACACATTTCTCAAAATTTTATTATTTTAATTGGGATGTTCATTGTTTATTGTTTTTTGTTTTATATTTGTTTTTCTCTAGGGTGTATCCTACTTACGATTTTGCCTGTCCGCTTGTTGATTCCATTGAAGGCGTTACCCACGCTCTACGCACAACAGAATATCACGACAGAGATGTTCAGTATTATTGGATACTCGATGCTCTGCAATTGCGTCGTCCCTATGTATGGGAATATTCGCGTTTGAATATGGCCAACACAGTATTATCGAAGAGAAAATTAACGTGGTTCGTAAACGAACGTCTAGTCGATGGGTGGGACGATCCGCGTCTTCCAACAGTGAGAGGTATTCTGAGACGAGGATTAACAGTACAGGCTTTGAAGCAATTCATTACCGCACAGGGAAGTTCCAGAACCGTCGTCGCTATGGAATGGGATAAGATATGGGCTTTCAACAAGAAAGTTATTGATCCAATTGCAACTAGATACACTGCATTAGAAAGTGATACGTTGGTAGACGTTGTCATAAAAAACCCTTCGCCTGAACAATGGATAGACGTACAGAAACATCCAAAAGATCCGTCCAGAGGCACTAAAAAATTGCGAGTGGGCTCCGATACTCTGTTGATAGAAAGAGCTGATGCCGAATCTTTTGTCGTTGGACAGAATGCGACTTTTATCAATTGGGGTAACTTAAAAATAACCGCGGTAGATCTGCAAAACAACAAAGTAGAGGCAGAGCTAAATCTGGAAGACAAAAATTACAAGAACACTGTAAAGGTCACATGGTTAACCAAGCCGAAAGACACGTGCAAAGACAAAGAAGTTCTAAGCACGAACCCGATAAAATGCTATGCTGTTTATTTCGATCACATTATAAATACGGCAAATATGGGCAAAGACGCCGATTTCAAGGATTTCGTTAACTGGAACACGAGAAAAGAAGTTCCGTTGCTGGGCGAGGTGGCGTTGAAAGACGTGAAGAAGGGAGAAATAATTCAGCTTCAGAGGAAGGGATTTTTTATTTGTGACGTTTCATATGAAGACGTCAGTCCTTATTCGTCATGCGTGCGACCTGTTATATTGTTCCATGTACCCGATGGACATGCTACAACTGTTGCATCGAATAATCAGGAAGACCAGAAGATTAATACAGCTGATACAAAAGTGAATGCAAATAAAGCGGAGGAAATTTCGAAGGAAATTAAGAAGCAAGGTGATAAAGTGCGAGATCTAAAAAGTGTGAAGGCAGACAAAGCTCAAATTGATGAACAAGTGAAAATTCTTCTAGAGTTGAAGAAAAATTACAAAACTGTGACTGGACAAGAGTGGAAGCCACAAGCTGCGGTCAACACAAGCGAAGCGGTTAACAAAAATACTTCCAAAGCAGAAGAAATTTCGAAAGAGATTAAGAATCAAGGCGATAAAGTGCGAAATCTAAAGAGTTCGAAGGCAGAGAAGAGCATTATTGATAAAGAGGTGCAAGTTCTTTTACAATTAAAGAAAGATTACAAAAATGTAAGTGGACAGGAGTGGAGTCCTCAAACTGCAGTCAATACAAATGGAACAAGTGACAAAANCACTTCCAAAGCNGAGGAGATTTCGAAAGAAATTAAGAATCAAGGCGATAAAGTGCGAAANNTNAAGAGTTCGAAGGCAGANAANAGNATTATTGATAAAGAGGTGCAAGTTCTTTTACAATTNAAGAAAGATTACAAAANTGTNAGTGGACAGGAGTGGAGTCCTCAAACTGCAGTCAATACAAATGGAACAAGTGACAAAAACACTTCCAAAGCGGAGGAGATTTCGAAAGAAATTAAGAATCAAGGCGATAAAGTGCGAAACTTGAAGAGTTCAAAGGCAGAGAAGAGCATTATTGATAAAGAAGTGCAAGTTCTTTTACAATTGAAAAAAGATTACAAAACCGTGAGTGGACAAGAATGGACTCCTCAAACTGCAGTCAATGCAAATGGAACAAATGACAAAAACACTTCCAAAGCGGAGGAGATTTCGAAAGAAATTAAGAATCAAGGCGATAAAGTGCGAAACTTGAAGAGTTCAAAGGCAGACAAAAGTATTATTGATAAAGAGGTGCAAGTTCTTTTACAATTGAAGAAAGATTACAAAACTGTGAGTGGACAGGAGTGGAGTCCTCAAACTGCAGTCAATGCAAATGAAACAAGTGACAAAAACACTTCCAAAGCGGAAGAGATTTCGAAAGAAATTAAGAATCAAGGCGATAAAGTGCGAAACTTGAAGAGCTCGAAGGCAGACAAAAGTATTATCGACGCGGAAGTAAACATTCTCTTGGAGTTGAAAAAGAATTACAAAACTTTGACTGGGCAAGAGTGGAAACCTCAAGCTGCAGTTACAAATGAGACGAGCGGCAAGAAAGCCGCGAATTCCTGCACCTCGCGTCCAAAGAGCGAATGTAAAAACTCAACGGATACAAATAAACAAACAACAGATACAAGTAAAAATGCAACGGATGCAAATAAGACAGGCACCCGATTGGGATTGGAGGCAAAAAAAGAGGAGAATTTTTTTGAATGGTACTCCCAAGTTATTACAAAAAGCGGAATGATTGAATATTACGATGTGTCAGGTTGTTACGTTCTTCGTCCGTGGACATGCAGTATATGGAAAATAATTAAAGATTACATCAACGAAACAATAACGGCACTTGGTGTTGAAGAATGTTATTTTCCGATGTTCGTCACTCGTGCCGCGTTAGAGAAAGAGAAGGAGCACATATCAGACTTCGCGCCGGAAGTCGCGTGGGTGACGAGATGCGGCGATTCGGATCTAGCGGAGCCTATAGCTATACGACCCACTTCGGAAACTGTTATGTATCCAGCGTACGCTAAATGGTTAAGATCGGACACTGAGTTGCCGCTGAAGCTCAATCAGTGGAATAACGTTGTGGTAACTTATTTATTGCTCAATACTTAGAACTTCTTGCTCCAACGACGATTAATTCGCATTCTCTGATGTTTTTTGTTTTCGTTTCCACAGAGATGGGAGTTTAAAGACCCGAAGCCTTTCTTACGTACCAGAGAATTTTTGTGGCAAGAGGGCCATACCGCGTTTGCTACCAAGAAGGAAGCGGAGGAGGAGGTATTGATCATATTAGATATGTACGCCAAAGTCTATGAGGATTTGCTGGCGGTGCCTGTGATTAAAGGCCGTAAAACTACAAAAGAGAAATTCGCGGGTGGCGATTACACTACTACCGTCGAGGCGTATATTTCGACCAGCGGTCGCGCCATACAGGGCGCAACGAGTCATCATTTGGGACAAAAGTTTTCCAAGATGTGTAACATTCAGGTGGAAGGTGCTGTTGAGGGAGAAAAGACGTTTGTCTATCAAAATTCGTGGGGCTTAACTACGCGAACAATCGGAGTCATGATAATGGTTAGTACGAAAATAAAATCGTTGTGATATGAACGTTGACATTTATCGGATTCGCATAAGCTACATTTGCTGTAATGCGCTGACACGTATCCTTTAATGTATCTACAGGTACATGGAGACGACAAAGGTTTGGTGCTGCCACCAAGAGTAGCTGGTGTACAAGCCGTTGTCGTTCCCTGTGGTATCACCGCAAGCATGTCGGAAGATAAAAAAGCCGCGCTTCTAAAAGAGTGTGATACTCTGTTTAACGAATTGAAAAGTAAGTTTAGAATAAAGGCTGATTTTAGGAACAATCGCACGCCTGGATGGAAGTTCAATCACTGGGAACTAAAAGGCGTGCCAGTGAGAATCGAATTAGGTCCCAAGGATCTAGAAAGAAATGAAGTAACGTTCGTACGCAGATACGACTCGGGAAGAATAGTTGTTAAACGTAACGAAGTGATTGAGAAATTAGATAAATTATTGAACGAGATACAATCTTATCTGTTCAATCGGTAAGTATTGCTTGTAATAATTTTAAATGTCATTATTTATTGATATTTGGTTAATAATTTTACGTGTAATTTTGTTTTCTCGTAGAGCAAAAGATGATCTCAACAGTCATGTCACGCAAGTAGATGAGTGGTCTAATTTCTGCTCCGAACTCGAAAAGAAAAATTTATTGCTCTCACCTTTCTGCGGAGAACCAACATGCGAGGATAACATTAAAGCTGATAGCGCAAGGTACAACTTATTATTTATTTTATTTTTTTTTTTTTCCATGAAAGACCATGTTTCTTACAACACAAATAATCAGATACTTTCAAATAGCCGATGAGTTTTTGTTACTGAATTTAAGTAATTTTTAATTAATTTTAACTTCTGAATGACTACAGAGATGTCAGCGACGAGCCTGGAGCGTTATCAATGGGTGCCAAGAGTCTTTGTATACCGTTTGATCAGCCAAAACCCCAAAAAGAAATTGAGAAACTAGGTTGTGTTCATCATAATTGCAAAAACAAAGCGAAATCTTACACGCTTTTCGGACGCTGTTACTGATTGCAATTAATTGAAAAACGAATTTTTTTCGTGTATAATTTATGTTATTTCTAAGCAGATTGAAATGTAAACAAAATGTCTAACCACACAGTTGAATCACAGTTTTAACTCGATCTTCTCCATTTAATTTATTTCATAAAGAAAATTTATTAAAGAAAAATTTATTTAAAGAAAATTGTATTTTATATAATATATAAATTCTTAAATCTTAAAATATACAATATACATGCATTTATAATTTTAAGTTTTTTTTTTTTTTTTTTAACATTCCAATATACATATGCACATGTTTTATGCGCTTACCTGCTTTGTATCGCTCGAAAATCAGTTAACTTCGCAACAACGAGAAGCGATTCGAGATCGATCTCGCGCGTGTTCGCGCGCCGATTGTTCTTCAATTTCAAGTATAATGGCTGCACTCGAATGAGACGCGAGCCCTCACCTCTCTTCCGTCGTACACTTTGACACAAGCTGGTCCTGGGCTTGTCCAAAATTCTAGTGCTCGCAGCCGTATATCAAATGACCGAAAGGATTCGCTTTGTCGTTGTAAGCATCGATGTAGCAACGAAGTATCATTTTGTTCGGGCGTTCGGTGCCGCTCTGAGGCGGAAATCGCGTCAACTTGCTGTCATCAGTTACAAGGAATAACGCGCGAAAAAAAAAAACGAGCAAGATAGAGAAATTCTCCGTGATTACTATACGTAAAATCTCCTGGCGCTTGCACTGTCCGTCCTCGGGAGGAGGAGGTCAGTGATGAGGAATCTATGAAGAATTACTGGCATGGCCACGCGACTCAGTCCCCGAAACTCGGAGGTGAACGCTCTTGAGCAACGGGGCTATCTGATCGGCAAGAAGATCGGACAGGTTGTGTGTTCATCTCTTCCCATTTCCTTTAATCCTTCATTCTTACACTTGTTTTCCGCCGTGTCTTCTCTGACTCGATCGTCTCTCACGATCGCTTCGCCACGCGTCTAAACATTCCGCACGTAATTTTGCGCGAAATTATAACGACGCTTTCTCAGGGCTCTTACGCAACCGTCCATCTGGCCGAGTACATCGATGGGCCGAGTTCCAAGAAGATGCGCTTGGCCTGTAAGATCTTTGACAAGGAAAAAGCGCCGGATGACTTCTTGGACAAGTTCTTTCCCCGCGAGCTCGAGATATTAACGAAGATAGAAAATCCGCACATCATTCAAGTAAGAGATACAGGAAGTCCATCTTCGCTCGTTGTGTTATATATATCCGGTATCCTGTATTGGGCGCAGGTACATAGTATTCTGCAACGCGGCCCGCGCGTCTTCATCTTCATGCGCTACGCCGACAACGGCGATCTGCTCGATTTCGTGAAGAACAACGGCGTCGTGCCGGAACAACAGTCGCGATTGTGGTTTCGTCAAATGGCGTCCGGTCTGCACTACCTTCACAATAAGAACATCGCGCATCGGGATCTCAAGTGCGAGAACATACTACTCTCGCGGAAGTTCAATGTGAAACTGGCGGACTTCGGTTTTGCTAGGTTCTGCATTGATCACGAGGGCAGACGGGTCCTCAGTCAGACGTACTGCGGTTCGGCGGCCTATGCCGCGCCGGAAGTTGTCGCCGGGACCCCGTACAATCCGAAGTTAGCGGACGTGTGGTCGCTCGGCATTATTCTCTTCATCATGCTCAACGCGACAATGCCGTTCGACGACGCGAATCTACGAAAGCTTCTCAAGGATCAGATGTCGCGCAATTGGGTGTTCAGATCGCGCGTCCGAGATACGGTGTCCACGCTGGCGAAGAACATCGTCCGTCAAATTCTCGAGCCCGACATCACGCTCAGGTTGACCCTCGAGAGAGTGCTGGGTCACGAGTGGGTGAGAACGAGGAAAGAGAAAACGAGCTCTCTCGTCGGAAGACTCGTCCATTCGGCGCCGCCGAGTCACACCCCGGTTACGACAGAAACATTAATATTTGTTTAAGATCTTCTGCGATACCACATTGGATGTAACGTCGGATTTTATTTTTTTTTTTTTTTTTTTTTTTTGCTGTAAAATATATTCGTAAATTACTCTTGAATCCTGACGTTACAATCAATACGGTGCAGCGACGAAAAGATTGATGCATCTCGCGAAAAAGAATTATTTCCAAGAAGTGTTAACAGTGATTTGCTCGTGTATTAGATGTGCGGAGGTAGTAACATGGGCGGATCGGATGCAACCGGAACCGGAAACATACCTGTCATAGCGAGAGCGCTTCCGGCGTTGAGAAATTCGGAAAATCAGAATCCAACGTCCGCGAAAACGGTAACCACCACTTCGGGAAAAGATCCGCAATTACTTGTCAACGTCGGATGAAGAAACGATAATTTGTGAAGGAACCCTTGTGTTCGACGCGTCGAAGATGTACAATTGGAAATACAGAAAAATGCAGAATCAAAAATAATAATCGAAGATGAGCATTTTTTCGAAAATATTTTTATATATTTGTTTTTACTAGTAATGTTTTTTTGTATAACCTTTTTATTACAATCACAATGCAAACTTACACAAATGTTGGTAACAAATATTGTTATTTAATAAATACGTTATGATTTTGACAGAAATTATAATTTGAGAGAAAGTTGATTATTTAGTTAATAACATTTTTAATAATTTTCAACAAATTTTTCATTTACTTCTTTTTTTTTTTCTACATTCTTTACAATTGCACAGTGCTGTATATCCAACTGTTGTACGCATATTGTTCAGTTCTTCGTCGCAAGCTTAAAAAAGAGAAATAGAAAAATCTGCCAACTGTATTAATGTATAAGTTTAATATGTGTATATATATATATATAGTTATTTTCTATTAATGTACAAAACTATACTCTTTTTTTTGGTTATACTTACATACATAATGCGATATTCCTGCTAGAGATGTAATAGTACGTTTAACGATATATGATATATATTTATCTTTTTTTTTTATATATCTAATGTTTACAAGTTTTGTTTTTGTTTTAAAATATAACAAATAATTTACACGATTCGATATCTCTTACATTGTTAGGTCGAGCTCGTTTAACATAGCACCTTGTGACACTGAAAACGATACTTAGCACACACATTATGAGGGGAATTATATAATCGTTTGTTATTTAAAAATTATACGCAACATAAAGAGAAAATAACCGAATTAAGATTTTGCAATCTAACTCTGCTTTGCAGAGTTTAGTGCGTGTTTGACGTATTTGGTCTTACAAGTTCATGCCCAATTCGCAACATTGCCCACTGATTCTCTCACACAAAAATCGGAAATCTCATTGTTGCACTTCTTTTGTGTGTGTGTGTGTGTGTGTGGATGTGTGTGTCTCTATTCTAAACTATCCTCTATTCTTAATTAAATTACTCTATTTATAATTGTGTTACTCTTCCGATCGAATTCGCATTCTTGTAACATGTAACAGCGACAACACAATCACGTTAGAAAATTCGCGCGATTTATTTTTCTATCCTAGATGATTTTATACGCGTCATTGAGAAATAAGAACAGAAGAAATGAAGGGTAAAAAAACCCCTTTGTTATATAAAATTTAGAATAGAGAATTAGAGACGTTTATCTACAATTTATCATCGTAAAATACACTTTACACGTGTCTATAAAACAATTGTAAGTATATAGAAAGCTTGATCTTTTTTTCCTTACGGAAAAGTAGACTTCGAGACGGTTACCGAAACTTACATCCATATAGCACGTCCGTGTATCTCAAAATTATTCCTAGATATCTATTCGAAATGTATGGAATATTTGCTGGATATCCACTGGACCTCTGTGTTATATGGATTTTTCTATAAATAAGATAATTCGATTGCACGATCATAAATATATCTTCGAAGTGGTTTTCTGTTGAATAAAGATAAAATATCGCTAAAACTGTTCCGCTCACCTGTGAAAGGGACGCATTGTTCTATTTACAGCGTATATAGTAGCGTTAAAAAACAAATGAGACGACACTACGACCAGATTTAAATATTTTTACAAGCGCCAGAGCCAGCATGCAGTAAGTCCACACACATCGAACGCGTATAAAAAAAAAAAAAACTGGCAGAACACATTACATATACATATATCGTAGTACTTTTTCGGAGAACGATACAAAACCCATTTCGCGGTTTCATACACTATTCATTGGGTTAGACCCATCCACCGGTCAATTTGTGAAACATTTCTTCGTTCAGCGTTTGATTCGCCTCTTTCGAACGCATCGACAAGAAAATGTAACCCCCTATAAATTCATGAACGACCTTGCAGTCGGCCGATTGACACTCGAAAATTATATTCTCTTCTTCGAATTGCACCATCATGTGCTTCACCTCCCAGTTAACATTCCACGCCTGTATAAAAAAAAAGAACGGTTATTTTTTTTTAAAACATTTTTCGCTAAACATTTGAAATGAAAATACACACAGAGAGAGAGATAGAGAGAGAGAGAGCACACGTACCTTCATAGTATTGTACCTCCAAGTCTTCAGGTGATCGCCACTGTGAAGTTCCATTCGCATCAGTCTGTTGTTGGCGATGCCTAGCAGCTCGTCCTTGTTTTTACCGGTGAATCGCACGATAAAAAGCGAAATGCCGTATTCAGGTAGGGATTGCCAGGCCTTGATGTAATTCAGCTTCGCTTCGATGAGAGACAGGTCTTTGACGTTTGCGTGCGCCTCCAAAATCCTCTGAACCAACTTTACGAAAAAAATAAAGTAATTTACTTGATTCGATTGATCACGCAGATTTTTTTTTTCTTTTTAATTGCAAACGAGCAGTTTACTTACTTTTCCTTTGAACTTCTTCGCAAATCTAGGCGCGACGTAGTCTTCCGGTATGATGTCTAAAGCGTTCGGATTGATAGCCGGTGCGGGCGCGGGCCTCTGCAGCTGCAGAAAAGCTATGATACTGTTTACTTCGCTTTCGTAAGACGCGTCGGCGAGAGTACGACCTTTAGCCGCTAATCTGCACGCGGCCATCCACTTTGCGTATTGTTGCTCCTGAAGCGTAACAGAGAATAATAGTTTTATATATTCGTGAAATCTGATAATAACACTCGTCGCTATGTGAACACTGAGTCTTAATTCGCTTACGTTGTCGCATCTGATCCACATCTCGGTCATGCCTTCGGCGCTGGGTACTTCTAATCTAATTCCATAGCGACCTTGCGACAAGTGCACGTCCGGTGTGACCTCGCAACCACGCAAATTAATTACGTAAACCGGCGACTCCGAACCGCCCGCCTCCTCTCTGCTCTTATACAGCCTGAGTTGAAGATCACGGCACGTGAACCAATAACGTTTGAACGCCTTCAGCGTGAAACGCTTCGGCTTGAAGAAACGCAATTCGTCGCAAAGCTCGGGCACTTGCGTGATGTCGCTAGGACCGTTGCTGACGTTGGCACCTTCCAGAGTCACCTGCAGATCCGTCAAGGCCGCGTCGATGTCGTCCTCGACGGGCGAGGTCGCACCGTTGCTGTCGTACGTGGGCTGCGGCACGCTCGCCTGAAGATTCACTTGTACCTGCGACAAATCAGAGAAGCGTAGGTGACATTGACTGCAGAGATCTGTTTTGTTGTTTTTCGTCTCAACATACGTCGCAAGAACGGGGCGAGTGAGTATGCAAAGATGTGCGAGGCAGAGATTTTGTGGGTCGAGGTGAGATGACCGTATCTTTTCTTGGACATGTTATCGTGTGTGACGTGCATTACGACTTAAGGACGTGGTTATTTGCATGCGTTATGTGTCGCGTGGGATTCTCTTCTCGAAGGAACGTAAACGTGAAGAAAATCGGTGAATGTGACCATAAATAGAATTATCAAGAATCGCAGATGATCAACTGAGCTATTAGTTAGCTTTCAAAAAGCTTGTCGAATTTGTGTCCACGACATACAAAAACAAATTTCAAATACCTGAAGCGCCGCGAACATCAGCATCTCTTCCTCGGTGCAGTCGATCTCCTCCGCGAGCAGTTGCCACTTGGCCTGTTCGTAGATCATGTTTATTCGGACCGCGTCGGTCTTCGGATTCAGATCGTAGAAGGAATAGAATTTGAACTTTAGCCTGAGCGTGTCGAACTCGCGAATGCCCTGTTCCATGATCGACAACGAGGAATCCAACCAAGCGACGTTCATCCTCGCCCGTTCGATCAGACTCTTCGGCCTGATCAGCTTTGTTCGCAGTTCCGGCGAGATCGACATCGGACTTTGCGCCAACGAGTCCGACAGTCCGCCGTTTAACGCCTCGAGACTCATGGTGCTGTTGTTGGCGTTGAACGAGCCGGTGCTACCGAAGCCAGGAGAGTTGTTGTTTCTCTTCCACGTGCTGGTATGCTGGAAATTCGCAAGTGCGAATTCGTAACATGTATTTCAACGTAAAAAAAATAGAAATATATCTCGAAAACAATATATTTAGATATTTTTTCAAGAAAAATTGCACGTCGGTTTTATTAAATATTTTTTCTTATAAAACACACGCGCGCGCCCGAAACGGATAACAAAAATAAAATAAATCGTTTCCCGCCGTTCAACATCGCCGACAACAAAACGCTCGTGGAGTTTATTTTCATCCTAGATCTCACACACGTAGCTTACAGTGACGGGAGAGCTGATCGGCGTGCTGTGATTTCTAGTATTGGGCGTGACCGGGGCGCACATGAATGGATTCGATTGATCTAAGCTCCCCGTTGATCCTCTGGGACTCTGACTGGCCGGGATGAAGGTATTCGTGTCGGCTGGCACATTCAAGTGGCCGTTCTTTTGATTCTCGATCTTCTTCTTGGACGGTAGATCCTTCAAATTGTACTTCAGATGATTCGGTTCGAGAGGTTTGCAGAACGAGAGCTCTTCCGGATGTCTGATACCTGCGATAAGACATTCGTGGCAAAACAAACTTGTTAGAAAATTATTGTTTCCCATCGCCCAAATTTTGACAGGCCGCGCAATTCGCACATCGATTTGATGTAACAGCGACATTCATTTTTGCAAACGTGTTTGCTTGCAAGAGAACGAAGTAATTGACGAGCAAAGATCGCGTGCAATCGCGCAACGTTGTCTATTAGTGTCTATTTGCGAACATGACACACTGATCTCACATCACCAATGTCCATTTAGTAATAAAATCGCCATTCCGGCAGAAGTAGCATAACCGACAAGGCAGATGATTCGAAGCTTGCACAACAGCTCGCGTAAAAAAAACTCATCTTTATTTGACATCAATTTGTTCTACTTAGCGCGTGCAATTTTATTTTTTTTTTAAATTAATATTCAAAACGTCATTTCTTAAATGTTTGTTAGTTTCAAAATTCCGAAGAAATCTTTAGAGATTTACGTATAATTTTTGTAATAATTTATTTCGAACGTTCGATACACACGAACTGCAGACGATTTCATAAAATTTGAACTCGTCGCGAGACTCGGAGTAGATAGCGTTTGTGTGCGACGTGATTTTAAATTACTTCTCAAGTTGTAAAACGATAAGGCCGGTATCTCTTTTCTGCTGTTTCCTGTCTATTCGAAAGTCAGGTTTTATCCTTTGGACGGAATTATCGCGTTAACCCACTTCCTTGATTAAAAAGCCTCAGGTTTGTCGGCGGGGCTAAATGACAGCTGCGACGACTGGCGCGACCTTCGCGTGACGGTAAAAAATTCATCATTTGTAGTAGTAGTTTATTACTATGCGCACAGAGAATATTACCGACGCACAACGCTTTGTAACTTTAATCTCGTTGCTCGATGCAACAAAACTCTCCGTTTGTCACGTACACAATTTTACGCTTATTATAGTATCTACTTTTTTAATTAAAAAAAAAATACACAGTATAAAGAAACTATACTCAGTAAAAAAAAAAAAAGACATTTTCAAAAACTTTTTCTTATCTTGAAGATACTCCGCTCTACGGTGCGTCTCAGTTGACACGAGATAGCAACAGTCATTTAAATTAATCGTAGAAGGCAGCCAGTTTCGCTGTTGCGAAACTCAAATTACACAATGCTAATTCGAAGCGCACACGAAGTCCTTCAACGTGTTTGTTTTCGATTTTATTTTACTATCAGCCAAAAAACGTCAACGTGTGGATACACCGTAATTTTTTAATTTCAGAAGTACGTCGTACAAAAAACCAAGCGCGAAATAAAGTTCCATCTAATTAAAATCTACACGGAAAAAAAAACAGATTAATTGAATAAAAGACTGTGCGATTCTAACTTGCAAACGACGGAGTCGTTGCGAGCAGAACCGCTGTCCGAGTTGGTCGCGCTCATCATCGTCTATCTTTCTCTTTTACATCGCGCGCCTTAAACGGTGTCAATGGGTTCGCGACACTCACCGAGTTCTTTGCACAAATTGATGATCGCGTTGAACGTCTTGACGGAAAAATCTACACGGCAGTCGAGGCAGCGCATGTCCGGCAGTTGTACCCTCAGGGTCTTGTGCATCGGTGTGAAATGTAGAAGCGCGTCCGCCGCGACGCCGTACTGGTCCAGGGTGCTGCGCGTCCTGGTCAACCAGTGATTTCGCTCGGGCCACCAAAGCGCGTGATCCGACCAGTCCATGGCGATATCTGTGCGAAGAAGAAAGGAAAACATCTTAGAGCGCGAAGAAAAGAGAAGCGCGAGGATTAAGTCCGAGGCATAAGACGCGAGAAACGTGAAGCATTTAACACGTTGAAAGTCCATCCACCTGAGTAACGGGTCTTTCTCGTCACCTATTTGTGAGCGACGGGATTTATTACATATCTAACAAAGGAAATCTCGAAAATTTTTTTGATTTTGACAAAACTTCGCACACATTTAGAGGAAAGTAAATAGATAGAATGTAGAAATTTTCAGTTGTGATTTGATATTCGATTCTTATTGATTCGCGTGTTAAAGGAGTATCTTTAAGTAAGTTACGAACGTATAAGAGACACGTATAATAGGTACACACGACGTCTGCGCGGATTACTTAAAGATTCGAACGAGGGTGTCGAGTAAACCAAGGGTTTCCTCCCTCTGAAACCGCAGAAGAGACGGACGGAAAAATAAGACGTCCGACGACGGAATACGTCGAGGCGAACGATCGTTTGCGCGTCGCCAAAGGTCAATTTTCACAGCTGTTCGCGCCACATTTCCCACACGCGCTCCATTTAATGGATTTTGGGGTGCCCCGAGATCTGTGTGCGGGCCTCTTTCTGACCGTATCGTTTAAAACTCCCTCGCCGCACGCACGGAATTGCAATTACAAGGGGCCGTGCGCATCCAAGGGAGACCGTGAAATCGAATGTAGACGAGAGGAAATACACGCATGTGACACGTGTTGTGCAATTTACTTTTTAATAGCGTACAAATCACTTACTTTCGAAGTTATATTATAAATAATTATAAAATTATAAAATTATACAGAAAACAATCTCGATTGTACGCGCGTCGTCAACAAGACGAGTCCTAGACGCAAGTACGTCATAATCGAAATTCGCGATTGAGATTATTTTAAAACAGAACGTGCAGCAACAATTATTTTATAAATATAATTCAATGTTTGTAACAGATATATTTAATTAATTTCCTCATTAATTGAAGATGTAATTCGAAAAGTGATCAGCTCGTTAAACAACTAAAAGAAGAAATTCTCGTACGTGTATAGAGTAGCTCTTTCGCAGCAATTACAATTTTAAAGCCCGAGATAAATGCCAAATATTTATCCAACCATCAGACGGAACAATGGCGCGAATCGTAACGGCGCGCAGCTGCGTGCTATAAATATTTCGCGAATTTTGCGAGCAATTCGCGCTTTGTTTTTCGTTCAAACGGCGAGAGTTCTCGGATCTCCCACCCACACGCGCAGAAACGTACAAATTTATCTCTGTGTTCTGTTTTTTTTTTCTTTTCCATCTGCGTTTTCCTTCGTTCCACTTTTAACCGTGACAATCGCGCGCGCGTCTGCGATAATACATCCGTACGATGCGTCCGTAACGATCGAAAATCGCGCGCGTAATACATTTGTGTGAAACTCTGCGCTTTTTTTCGCGACTCGTATTGAAGCACAAGATGATCTGCGCTCTTTTTTTTATTTAAAGTTGTTTGTATTTATTTATCACATGTGTGATGCAGAAACAAAATCTAAAAATGATCGAGACGAAACAAATCTCTAAATGACAAGAAAACAAAATAAAAGATTTTTACGTATCAATTTTTAAAAATTTTAGATAATTAGTTTTTTTTATTCACTTACTTTTCAGACACAGAACTCTTAAAGAATTCAAATTTCTCATGTATAAAATTCTCTTGTTGTTTTCGAGAAAATGTTTCTGGAAAGTTTAAACTAGTAGTTTGACATATCATACATTCAGGATTTATCAATGACTGCCGATAAGACGGAGCAATCACTGATACGACCGAGAGAGATATTGATTATTATGAGTTGCATCCGGTTCTCGGCGGGAATGCGACGACGCTGACATTTGTCGACATTACGCTGAGAAACGACGGGACATTAAACTGCAACATGGGACAACATTCGCATTCAACATGCGACATTAAAAGGACAATATGGCGCGAGAGAAGCGCGTGACTTATTCGCATCGTTTTAAATCCACATGTTTCTTTGTTGTCTATGTTCGTCGTATCTTTGGCGATAAAAATCGAAGATAGTGCCTAAATTATTTTTTCTTTTTTTTTTTTTATCAAAAATAAGATAAAGTTCGAGTGAATTTTCGTGTTGTTAAATCGAACAAGGGTATATTATTCTCGCTACGTTTTAACGAACAAGACGAAAGATTCTCTCTAGGTGAAAGAGTATACACGATGAAAGCAAACGGCGTGTCGATCCGCTCGACAAGAAAGTGCTCGGCGCATAACAATAACGTGTGCCGATGTACGGCGTCGTGTACCGCTAAGGAGCGGCACCGTGACACACAAACGTTCAAGAACTACGTTGCTTCCTGAGTCGCGACAGCTTGTCGAAATTATTACGTTCTCCAAAATTCACAGCGAACGATACAAAAAAAAAAAAAATTAAATACCCCGACACAACGGTTCAGAAATACAAATTTAATACAAATAACAGATTGGCAACGAAGTCATTATTATTTATATCGGGGGGATGCGTTAAAAAAAATTAAATTCATCATCTTAAATTTTTAGCGCTACTATATAAATTACACAATGCCAGTACAAATGAATCTATGAATATACACAAGTGTGTCGTCAATCGATTTCATATGTTTTTTTTTGCTGTTAAAATTCTATCCTCGTTATTATCGCATATACCGACAAAGATGGGGGAGGAACGGATAGAGAATTTATAAGCCGATACGTGCGGCCGAAGTAGGATATAAAATTAAAGCGTCGCCGAATGCAGATTAGACTATTCATTTTGCGGTTGCCAATCGCTTTCGCGGCACGTTCCGGTAGCAACGACCGCGATATTTGCGCATGGCGCCTATTTATATCCCCCTCCGGAGGAGTTACCGAGAGAAAACCCTCTCTCGTACGACACTTAAAATTGTGGCACGAAACAGACCCCGCTCGTTAACGGAAAAGTGGCAAAAGTTACACAAGAAGAGATTTTCCTCCTCGAAGCGACGCGCGTTTGGGAAGCGTCGCGCGCACTTATCCAGAAGCGGAACAACACAGCAACGTGTGTTTCTTATGTACGCGCGCACATTGAGAAACAAATTTTCTATTTTAACGTCCTCGTGTCTGGAATCCGAAGAGCCCGATGATAGTGAGACTGAAGAGCCCGAGTTATTTCTGACCTTATCCGAGATAAAAGCAATTTTATCGAAAAAAAAAAAAAAAAAAACGTGAAACTAACACGCGATTTCTCGTTATCGTGTGATTACATCAAGGCGGTTGGATACGAATCCGCTAATACTTTTTTTTCAAGTCGAAAAGAAGTTCCAATAAATTGATTAAATAACGTAACTCTCTTATCGTTCAACGTTTTTTAAATAAATTATCTGTCAGGGTTGAAACACAGGCTTCTCGCGACACGACATCCTACAACACACGCTCGTTGACTCTCTCTCTCTCTCTCTCTCGAGAGAGAGAGAGAGTTAACACATGGCTGCGGAAGTACCGCGAGAGAATTAGATCCCCGAGAGTGGTGGCATTTTTACGCGAAGTTGCGCGTTACATCCGGCTGTACGTGTAAACGACGTAAAGGCTTGCACGTGCGGCCTGTGTAAACTCCGTAAGGACGTTTACAAACGCTACCCGACCCAAAAACGAAAGGGTTGATGTTTAATAAGGGAACAAAGCGGGGCACGGCGCACGTGGCCGGGCGCGCGCGCACACCCCTTCGTGTTCGCTCCGTGACGAACGGAAATTCGGGACGGCGCGAGATTACGATCCAATAACAAGACGCTCGCAATCCGTGCGTTGACGTGCATCAAACGCAACCCTCTCTCTTTTCATCTCTTCATATCCTTGCGAATTCCGGTACTGAAGGCAAGAAGAGCTTTTCACGTACGCCAAACCACCCTTCGCATTTCAGGCGAAGGAATGCGAGTTATTCGGCGTTGGAATGGGGTTGTAAGGACACGTGTTTAACCGAGCCTGTCAAGATTGTAGGGGAGATATTTTTCCGCAGAGACGAATCGGAGCATTTGGGACAAACAGAGTGTGAGCGAGATTTGAAGATACGTTAATCTCGCGTTTTTCTTTGTGTTTTTCGTTAGATCAATAAACGTGTCGCTTTTATTCTTCTGTATCGTTGAACAAATTGCGTCTCGTGCGAAATTATCAGTTAATTACACCAATCGCGCGCGCTCAAGATTGTAACGGTCAATGAAATCCAAAGCAATCGATTGTTTTTATTTTTTGCGGAATATTCAACCAAACTGTGCTCACAGAGCGGGAGATATGTTACGTAAACGTGATATCTCTCGCATATCGCGCGTAATATCTTATCAAACACGCGATGTGCAATTACGTAATTCGAAGAAAAGAATCTCATCTTGAGAACGAGATTATATACGCTGCATAAAATATATTCTCTATATAGCACACGCAAAACGCGCTGCAGCTTATCGGAATAAGAGACTATAGACGTGGGTCATCAGCATACCGCGATATCTTATCTCTTGTCGTTTCAAAATCTCGAGATATCAGAAGTTTGCGTAAACAAATGGAAGTAAACAAAACGCGGATAACGATATGGAAAAGAAGAGGTATTGTTTACCAGACGGTCGAGAAAAATACGTGACAAAGTAACATGTAAATCCGAGTCTCTTTTCGACAAACGAGAGACACGGTGTGTCTAAGTATCCTCCCTTCGCTACTCGTGTTTCTCGTCCCTTTTAACTTCGAAGTCTAAAGCGTGCTTCAAGCATTGTCGCGCCACCCTCTTGCGGCGCACAAAGACGCAGACATATATGCCGGAATATCACACAGAAGCTAGAACGAGCTTTTACATCCCTTTGGCTTCTCGCCCAATTAACCGCGTCGTTGCTCTCTCTCTTTCTTGTCTATCTATCTATCTCTCTCTCCTTCTCTTATTTTAAGACGACAAAGTTCCGCGACTTTATAAAGTCGCGGAACTTTGAACAGCCACAGAGTCAAAACGATATAAACGACGAAA